GCTTTAACCCGCTGTGCCACCAGGGAGGGCCCTATTTTTCCTTTTCTTTCTGGCTTATTTCACTTAAGCATGATCCCTTCCTGCTCCATCCATGTTGCTGCAAAAGGCATGAGTTTATCTTTTTTGATCACTGATTAATATTCCATTGTGTATATGTACCACATCTTTTTACTCAAGTCATCTACTTTTGGGCATTTGGGTTGATTCCATGTCTTTCCTAAGCACTGGATAGTATTTACTGAAAACCTACTATAGGGCAGGTACAAAGCACATTTCTCATTTTCACAGGACAGCCTACTTAACGGACCAGACATTGTTTTTCCTCCTTCATAGATAAAGACCTTGACAATCATGAATCGGCAATTCATCGCCCAAGGACAGGCAGTCACAGCAAAACCAGAGGTGAAACCAGAACCCAGATCTACTGGCCTGGGCTCCAACTGCCCCCTGTTGACTAGCTGCTCAGGAAGCACTGGTTGGTCACATACCTGAAGGCCTGTGCCCACAGCCATACCAACAAGACATGGCACAGAGCCACTCACTCTGAATGGGAGCAGTGTGTGACCCTGGCTGGGCTCCAGGACACAGGGAGAGCCAGTTATATGCAGTAGAACACCTCAGCAACACCCCCCCCCAAAAAAAAAAAAATACATACGAACTTCATTCACAAATTTGAAGGTAAAAAACTCAACTTTAGATCAGTACCTAGATCAGATCAAGTCCCATGTTCTACCCCATCCACCCACATTTTGCCACCCACCATGTGCTTATGCTGCCTCAACTCTCAGTGAAATGAGGGTGTGAGGGTGTTACCTATGGAGTTTTGATGTATAAAGGACAGAATTCACAGATATGCATCTTTAAAAGGCCTTAAGAAACCAACAGCTTCATTTAACTTCTCTTAGAGATGCTGAGGAAAATTCAACGGCAAAAATGCAAGAGCAGGCTTTCAATTCCATCCTGCAGAGCATGACAAGGAGCAGAGCAACTTGCTCTGGGAGAACTACAGGCTCCACTATATGAAGGCCCTGATGTGCTATGGGACCAGGGCCGTGCCTGGGCAAGGGGTCAGCCACGGGCCATTCAGAGGAGGAAGGCAGTCCTTGAATGCCCGAAGGCAGACTTCACGCCTCAAAGACTGAATCTTAACCGCCACTTCTCTTTCCTTAACTCTGATTCAAACAGTCAGTAACAATGACTTCAAACACAAAAACTAAGAAAAAGTGGCACAAAAAATTCACCTAATTTAAACAGGGACACAGTTCAGAAGTGCCTTGTTTATCATGTTCATGTAGAATTTCTCGCCAGCACCTTGCTAGGAATGGCCTAAGAGGAAGACCTGCGTGAGATGCTAGTGAAGAGGTTATTCCCTTGGCTGGGGACCGGTGAGTGATCCTATACTTAGTATTTTTATTAGTAGCAGAAATAAAATTACACTGAACACATAAAAAGCAACATGATTAGCACTGAATAAACAATGGTTCCACATGTGGCCCAGCATTCAGGACACCGAATCCCGTCCCATCGGGAGTAAGCTGGGGCAGGAGTCCAGAATGCAGCCTGATGCCACCACAGATGCTTTTCTGAACTTCCAGTCATGCGCAGTTTACTCCTACACCATAGATTCCCAGCAGGTGTTACACTACAGGGAAAGGATGCGAACAAATTGGAGAAGGACCCAGACAGACCTGCCACCCATGATTCTGGAATCCTCTGCAGAGCAGGGTCTTCCCAAAGGCACAGGAGCTCAAGGACAAGGGAGGTCGACCAGGGCCCTCCACAGATCCTACACTGTACCCACATTTTTGTCTTTTGGAGGCAGAGCAAAGTTGGCGGCAGGATAAAGAGACATCTCCAGCACCCAGTGATTGTGGACTCTGGCAAAGGGCAACCGCCTTGCATGAGGAAGAACACAGGACTGATTTACAGTTGGACAAATATGATGTTTCCCTGAGGCCTCAAGTTAGGATCTGTTCTGCATTTCCTCTGGTCACATTTAGATTGTTCAAGTCCCTGGTTTCATTTATAAAATGAAATCATTATTCTTATATTTTAGTGCAATTAGAAGAGTTAGAGAACACATATAGTATACCAAGACCGAGGCTCCTGATACTGGGAACCTTAATTACTCCATGGTGGACAAGTCCTGGCACTCCCTTCCTGGCCTCTTTTCCTCCCTGCCCACCCTGATGCTCCCAGGCCACAGCAGGCATGCGCCTGCCCCAGGGCATTTGTTTGTCCTATTTGATGCCATCTGTCTCTGCCTAGCATGTTCCTCCCTGATCTTCCCTTGCCACTGGATTTTCATCTGTGGTGCACATCTATATTCAGACATATTGTATGTTTACCCATGTATTCTCTTTCCTTCCAAAACACAAGCTCGAGGAGGAAAGTGGGGTTGCTCTGTTTTGTTTCCTACGGTATCTATCTCTAACAACAGGAAACAGGTGGACACTCAATAACTGAGATCTTCAATATTCACGCTTGTTACTATACAACAAAGCCTGGAAAGTTATTTTAA